GGGGAAGCAGCTGTGGTTCTGCACAGAATGAATACACTCAAAATAATGTGGGCAGGGGGACCAGAGACAAAACATCTACCAAAATACACAAGCTTCTGCTCTGCAGCAGGAGCCAGGGATGACATGCACAGCCCGAGATTCCGATTTTAATTATATCCTACTTGAGTAAAATACTCTGTTATTTTAAAGTTTCAGAGTGTTGTGCCTTCAAGTAAGGAAATTCTATAAAATGGTTTGGTCACAATCATGCTCAAACCCTAGAACAGGTGGCGGTCTTGTGTGTTTTATTTCTAATATTAAACGTGTGTCTTTTGTTGCATAGCCCTATGGGTTAACGGCATCCACTCACGGGGACACACAGACACGCACACACACACATCACACTCCAAGTCTCTTTAGGAGAATCATGGGGTAAAAGCCAATGGGAACACTCAAATGGTCCAGCAAAGAGATCATCTCACATTTCAAACTGCGGAGGACACACCCGAATCTACTCATCTAAATGCTCCTTTTGTTCACAAAACAGAGGCTCTCCAGTGCTTTATGCACCACGTCCTAACAGTGGCCTTTTTTGAATGTGGCCCTGAAGCGGGGCTTCGTTTGGCTGCCTGCTTTCCCACCTCTTGTGCCAGAAAGAGTGTGGGCTCAGACGCCCAGCTCAGCAGCTGCAGCTGAGCTGCTCCTTCCTCCGAGCTCCGGCCTCATTTCCGTTTGGTTCCCAGCTGCCCTCATCTGCTCAGACGCGGGCACTCCTCCTGCCCCCACCCCATCCAATCTCCCCCGCTTCCCACCAGCCTCTCCCCGATGAGTCTTCTGTGAAAAGAAATTTGCACAACTACAGAGATTGCGCCCTGCCTGTCAGGCACCCCGTCCCTGAGAATCGGGTGTAGAAAGACTGACCGGCCCGCGCGGGCCATGCTACACATGCCCTGCAGCCTCTACTGGTTCGAGGAAAAAGGGCAAACGGCCACTTCATTCCAACTACGACGGACCTACTGGATGTTTTCTGCACGTTCTCCATTACATCCGCTTTCTACTCAGTTGCTGTTTGCAACAGTTTCCACAAAGCCCACTCGCAGTCCACACAGGCCTCCCGTCCCGCCCCCGGGAGCCTGCGCGAGGGGCTAGGAGGTCAGGCACTTGGTCGAGAGCCGCGGGAGCCAGGGTGGTCTGGTCGGCCGCCTGGACTGGACACAGAGCATGTCCTCCAGCAAGCCGAGAACACACATCCTGAGAGGCTGAGGTCCTCCTATAGGTTTCATGTTTTACAGTCATGTTAACATTCCCTTCCCCATTATTCTGGTTTTTTATTTTTATTTTCTGATCAAGTATATAGAGTCAACAAACGAGTGAAGGGTGTCGTGACTAAAAATCAAAACCAACAGCAAGAACGTTGTCCAGATTTGGTCCCTGTCAGGGCTGACTGTGTCTGGGAGAGGACAGAGCATCGGCGTGTGTTTCTAGTGCCTATTTGCCATTTTAGGTACGAAGGGCGCCACCGGACTGTTGGTGTGCGGGGACTGACGAGACCTGCTCGGTTTACCACCGACTCTGTCCTGAGGTCTCGCCCGCCCCTCTGCACCACACGTTTGCATGAAGGATGATCCGCACAAGATTCAGACCTCCTGCAAAACGTTCCCAGCACACACCTCGGATGCTGGGTCCTCCACCCAGTGCCGCTCAGCACACACAGCCGCGTCCTGTGTAGGCTCTGAGCTGTGAGACCCAAGGAGGCAGCGCGGGAGGGGGAGAGGGGGAGCCACATCCCTCTACAAACCGCTCCACCCAGCGCGAGGGAGGAGACGCAGGGGCGAGGCGGTCCTCCCGGGGCTGCGGCCCCTGCCTCAGCGCCCGAGCGCCCCCGGAGCCCAGCGCGGATGATAAAACTCATCACCTGGGACGCGCCCGCCGGTCGCGGTGCGGCTAGCACCAGTGGTCTTGGTCGGGGTGGTGGTAGCTGCGCCGCCCCCGGCCGCCCCCGCCAGAGCTGAGCCCCAGAGTGCAGTGGTAGCCGTTGGGCACCCGGCGGAGGGGGTGCGACTGGGAGGTCAGGGAGGACACGTAGGAAGTCCGGGACGAGCGGCCCGAGTTGGTGGCCACGGCCTCCTCGAAGGTGAGCGTGTCCTCAGGTTGGGTGCGGGCAGCAGCCTCGCTGTCCAGACGCCGCCCCAGGTACGGGTCGGAGCCGATCCGAGAGCTGGCGGCCAGGGGCTGGCTGAGGGGGTCTCTCTGGAGCAGGGCGTTGTGTTCTGAAAGGCCACGGCTAAGCCGGCCGGGGGAGAAGGCAGGGAGGCTGGTCTGAGCCCCAGCAAAGTGGACGGGCGAGGAGTTGGCCGTCTTATAGGCGATGCTGGGACGGGGGGTCAGCGGGGTCTGGGGCAGCTGCCTCCGCCCGCCGCGGCCAGGGGTGCTAGCACCAGATGTTGGCAGCAGGGGGCTCCCGTTCGCTGAAGCACTGCCCTGCAGGAAACGGGAACACAGCAACCCCCAGTCAAAGGACAGGGCGAACAGAGCACAGCGCAGCGGAGAGCCATGGCGGGGGGGCGGGGTCGGGCAGCTGGGATGGACCCGGGGCGGCCCCAAGAGAGTCGGATGGCAGCCTGGGGATGGTGGTGACAGCAAGGGATAGGCACAGGGCCAGGGACCAGGAGACCACAGCACAGCCCACCTCAGTCAGAAGGAAAGCAAAGAAGGGACTGGACAGCGGGAGGGCCCGGGCTCCGCCCGGCAGGATGGACGGGCCTGGGAAGCAAGGAGCGCAGGCTTGGGCCTAGGAACCAGGACGGGAAGGGGCTCCCTCCCGGACCCCAGGGAGCGCGGGCGAGGTGGGGTTCTGAGGCCCACGTACCTGTCTCGGGGGTCCTGGCTCCTGCCCAGCGGTTGGCGACGCGGGGTGACTGCTGAGGGAGGGCTGGGGCTGTGGCGGCTCACGGCCCCCAAAGCGGTCGCAGGAGTAGAAGCGCTGCTTCTCGGAGGAGGCGGAGGGCTGCCTTCGCTCCTGGGACCGGCCCCGCTCCTGCCTGCGCTCCCGCCGGCAGCCTGCTGGCCCGTCCCCCGGGGGCGGCCCTGGCCCCGCGGCGCTGTTGGGTGCTGGCGGGGGAGAGGAGAAGTCAGCACAGCCAAGCCGGCGGCGAGACAGACCCCACCCCGGCCTGGCCCCCCAGGGCCAGCAGAGGGGCCCAGGGCAGAGCTGGGTGGGGGGCTCCTGCCCGGTCTCAGGCTCAGGGCTGGCTGTGGGGTTGTGAGGTGCAGAAAGGAAGAGGGTTCCCATGTGCTCTTGAACCCCCAACTCGAGCCACCGCCCCCAGAGAGACCCCTCGCACGCACCGCCATCTGTGTCTGCGGACGGGCTGGGCCCCTTCTCCAGGGACCTCGGCTTCCTGTCCCGGCGGCGATGGCAGCGGTGGTGATGGTGGGGGGCGGCCTGGCTGGCCGGAGCGCGGTCCAGGGCGGCGTTGCAGAGACGAGCCACGGGGGGGCGCTGGGGCGCCAGAGTGGAGATGGAGCGCTTCATGGGGCTGGCGTCTGGGGCCGGCTGCGGGCGGGGACACGGGTGGGCGCACGGTCTGAGAGTGGGGTCCAGGGAGGCCCAGGGCGGCGGGGAAGCCGCCATGACACGGGGGCTGGGCAGACCACAGGACACGTCCCATCGGGAGGAATGGGCCTGGGACTCTATCCCTGAAGTTGGGGCATCTCCTCAGACAAGGGAGGCTGTGCCCCAGGGGGCTGGGGTGGGGGGAGGGGGGAGCATGGCGCCACGGAGGGCCAGGCCTGCGGTCTGGCAGGGTCCCTGGGGAGGCCCACTGCGGGGCTGGGGGTCAGGGACCACCAAGCCCCGCCCTCTCCCTGGACTGGTCTTGCCCACCCGAGACCCACCGCTTCTTCAGAAGCGCTCTTTGCACAAAATGCTGTTTGTGTGCCTGTCTGTCTCTCCCAGGCCGGGCGGGGCCCAGGAGCCCTCTTGGCCTCAGCGTCCCTACAGGACAGGGAGGTGCAAGGAAGAGGGAGCCTATTGGCCTGGCTGGAAGGATCCCGGGGGCGGGGCGGGCAGAGCTGCCTCAGCGGCCACGGTGAGACCACTGTGCCAGCCCTTCCGTCCATCCAGCACCGTGAGGCTGCTCCCCCAGGGCTGAAAGCACAACCCACGGAAACGGGCTCACCCAGAGCCACTGCTCGGGCTCAAGCAGCAAGGAGGGAGAAGAGGCGCCAGCTTGGCACCGAAGGGACATGGCCAGGCCAGGAGGGCACCAGGCGCAGTGGGCAGAGACGGGGGAGTGAGGGCTCGGAAGAGGAATGCTCAACCCAGGGGCTGAGCCCGGGAAACAGTGCTGCAGCCCCCTGGCCAGGGGCTTCCTGCCAGGTGGTCAAGCGAGTCCCAGAGAAAGAACGTCCAGTGTCCAGAGAGGGAGCAGGGTCACCCCCAGGGCTCCGAGAGGACATGAGGGAAAAGGGTGGCTTGAGGAGGCCCTGTGTGTGATTTCTGGGGGAGTGAAGAGCTGGAGTGGGAGAGGCGTGTCCCAGAGACAGGGAAGGGCTGGGTCAGTGACACGGGGCAGTGGGGACTCTTGCTGGCCTGGCCACACCTCTCGACGCCAGCATCGTGTTCTGAGGGTTCCAAACAGGGCCGGTGGTGTCCAGGCTACAGTGCATTCGGGGAGGCTCCACCCCAGCAAAGCCCGCATGTGGGACACAAGCTCCTCCACGCCAAGTCTCCTCACCCCCAACCCCCTCCCATGACCCCAACCCTCCCAGGCCACCCACCTGAGTCTCTGCTGCCAGGCGGGGCATGGAGGCCGCTCGGCCCTGGCTCTCCAGCCCGGGTTGGGGCTCCCCGTCAGGGCCTCTCAGGGGCATGCTCTGCATCTGGACATCCACAGCCTGGGGGGACAGAAGCCCCCCAGTCACACCCACCCCCATCCCACTCTCACCTTCTCTCCCATGCCAGCCTCCCCCCATCCTGCTCTCGCCCTCACCCTCCCACTCTCACCCCACCCCCAACTCGGCCCCCAGCCCTGGGAGCCCTCACCGGTTTTCCTGTCTGCACTACCGGGATCTCCGCGGAGTGGCCACGCTCCAGGGGCGTCGTCACCTCGCAGGGCACCTCCTGGGTCCTCTGAGTGGCCCAGGAGACCGACTCCTTTATGCCACCCTCTTGGGTATGTCTGTGGAGGAGAGAGGATTGTCCTGTGGGCCTGGAGGTCCATGGGCCACAGAACCTGGCTCCCACCCGCCAGAAACCTCCACCCCGACCCTGTTCTGGGCTAGAAGGAGCCCAGAGGAAGGAGGCCCCTTGAGTGTGGCCACTCTCCAGTGGAGGTACAGCAATGGTCGTGCCCTCTCAGAGTTGATGGGCAGAGAGGGGACCCTAGTCTGGGGACATCTGGCCTAGACAGGGGCTCACATGTGCGGTGGGACAAGGCCACAAACGTGCACACAGGTGAGGCATCCAGCCTGTGCGGCTGCTCCGTCAGCCCTGATGGCCCACGGCTACTCACAACTCCCCTGACCCCAGCCACGGAGGCCTTCCTGCCCTGGGTCTAGGCACAAGTGTCACCTTTGGTGAGACCACTTTTGGAGGCCTTCCCCACCACACACAACCTAACCGCCTGCCCTCTCCTTGTCAGCGTCTGTCTTTCTTATCGTATCTCCCAAGTGGCACCACAACAGCCCAGCATTTGCCTGGGTTTCTGCTCGTTCTTGTGTACAGTGAGGCATCACATACATTCTCCGTCACCCAGGTTGAGGGGCAACAGTCACACTCTGAGCTCAGAGGTGAAGCCGGATGGCCTAAGCTGGCCACGCCGATGACCAGACGCACCATCACTGGGGTTTCTGAGAACATCCTTCATCTTCTCAAGTTGCAAGCATCTCCCCTGCACGGTGCTGTCTGGAGCTGCTCTAGCCTCAGGCAAGGCTGACCTTGAGAGGAACCACGGCCAGGAGGACGGACGCTGGCCCCAGGGTCTGGTCACCTCTGAGGTCACACCATGCCGAGGCCGGGTGGGCACTTACACCAGCCATCAGAAGGCTCAGTAAATGCCCCCACTGCCTGGCCTTGGTAGATTGGGCCCTCTCTCACGTGCAACAAAAAGGGGTGGTAACTGATTTGTGTAGAAATTATAACCATGGAAATCAGCGACGTTCATTTTCCTGAACCGCAAGCCCAGCTCAGATCAGTCCACAAAGACACCTCCCCACCCCATCCCCTCCGACACACACACGGACACTCAGAATCCACTGTTTAACTTTAAATGCACAAATGGGATCGTAATCAGCATGGAGAAAGGAGAGTGCGGGAACACGGGGGCTCCCAGGGGCCGGGAGGCCAGCCCTCAGGGCCTGCATGCACTCAAGAGTGCGGTTTTCGCACGGGAGCGTTACCAGTTGTGCTTAGGTTCTCCCAGTGTCCCGTGGCCTCTCCACCTCTGGACTTGTGCCACCGCAGTGTCAACCCCTGTCCCATGAGCTCGGGCTAGGGAGGTGACTTGCTGTGGCCAATGGGGCACAAGGAGAGGCCTGAACGCCTGCACCCTAACCCTTCCCCTCGGGCTGTTCTCCGGCCTCCCCACACCGATAAGCCCAGACACAGGAGGTGAGAATATGCTGTCCTGGGCCCGCTGGCCCCACAGGAGCGGGCCCGGGCCCAGAGCACTTAGGCCTGGCTTCCTAAGTACAGCAGTTTGTTACTAGCAAAAGCCACCTGACCCACAGTCCATGACCCAAAATCAGGCTTCAAAAAGAGTGTCCGGAACAGGCACAGGAGAGGAAGAAACCGGGAGCCCTAGCCATGCTTGCTGCCCGGCCTTGTGGTTCTCCAGAACGGCAAGTGGGCGTGAGGCCCACCCTCAGCCCCTGCCGGTGAGACAGAGCGCACGTTCCTGCTTTGGGCTCAACCAATGAGCTGCTCTGGTCAACGGGATGTTAGCAGATGTGGGACACCCGCTCTGACTGGGGGCGGTGGCTGAGAGGGTCCTGCCCCCCAGTGCGGCTCAGCCTGGCACCAGCTACCACCCCTCACAGTGCCACAGGGATGCCTATTCTGGACCACTTGGGTTTTGGGTCGTTACCAAGAGTTACGTGATAGGGAAAGACCTTGCCAACTTGTCTACAAAACAGACATCAATATCAAAATGGAGATCTGAGAGGGAAAGTGTCTTAAAGGAAGATGAGAACATGAACAGGCCATTAACAAAAAGCGGTGAGAAGCTGAGGTGGAAACAGATACCTTCTTAATGGTCTGCAGGCACCGAAGGCCAGCGAGGAAGCAGAGGGGAGCCCTCACCTGAGAAAGAGGTTCCCGCAGTGGGAGGCGTGGGCTGGAATAGCAGACTGTCTAAATCAGGTGACCCCGGTGCCGTCAGAGCACCTGTCTACTGTTACAGGAATTAGCCTCAGACGCACCACAGAACCGGCTCCGGCGGCAGACTGGACCAGCTGGACCCACCGCGAAGCATCTGGGTGGAGGTGGGTGTGGCTGGGTGGAGGTGAGACCCAAGGGCTCCCTGTCCTGGGGCACTGCCCACGGGAGCCCCGGGGGGACCCCTGCCCTCCTCCCGCCAAGGCCCCACGCTCTGCCCGGTGGTACTCACACTGCCCCGCCATTGCTGAGGGAGGCCGAGCTCTTCTGCCGAAGGAAAACCCGGGCTCCGCGGAGCACCGCCGGCTGCGTCTGCTCCAGCGTGGCCTTCAGAGGGTGGAACAGGGACACGGGGCCCATCTGCAGAAGGGGTGCCAGGAGGAGGGTCTCTGAGGCCGGGGACGCCCCATGGACCCCAGGCACCAAGGTGCTCGGCCACCTGTCCGGAACCCCCAGGGCAGGATGGGGATCCCTGGGTCTGCCCTTCGCCCATCAGAAGCCCATTCCCAATCTGGCCTGTAAGTGACTTCAGGACAGTCATTTCATTTCTTGGAGCCTCAGTTTCCCTTCCTACACAATTTGGGGACTGGATCTGATTACAAATGGCAAAAAGATTTCATCTCATCATCAACTTGGATTGACTGGTAGAGGCTGCCAGAGTCCCAGGTTGAGCAGAATTCGGAGGAGATTTCAGGGCTGGGGTGTGGGCACCAGACACTTCGCACCCTGGGGGTGAATGTCCTGAGTGCTGGACACAGGACAACTTTATCGATGAGAGTCTACACACAGTCACCAAAGGTTTTGGCTGTGTGGTGAAGTCGTCATCTTTGAAGGATGACCTCTGGAAGGAAGTCCTCCAAACTATCCCAGCCAGAGGCATGAGTGGGACACATCATGACCCTGGGCAGTAGGTTTGAACCTCTTTGGGCCCCGCCTGTGTGCACCTCCCACTAACGGAAGCACAGGATATATGGGGTTTCTGACTCTGTGGGCCAGAGAGGCGGCCGCAAGAACCTCTCATCTTCCTTTTTTTCCCGCTGCACTTTCTTCAAGAAGGGGCTGGGTCCCCTCTGCTGCCAAACAGTGGAAGGTGGCAGAGTCTCGGGGTTACTTCCTGGAACTCCTGGAACCTGGTACCTGGGACAGGCCTCCGGGAGCTTGGTGAATCTGGTCTCTGGTGGTTTTGTTCTGTTTGTAGAAGTCGAATATCATCAGAGCTGCGTACACTTTCCCCACTGTCATCTCATCGGCTGCAGAGCACGGCAGGCAAGGGAGGGAATACGAGAGAAGCGGGACATGCGGGGTGGGCTGGGGTGAGGAGCCAGCAGCCACCACGAGGACTCCTGGACCCGCGGGCGGGACCGTGGGGCTTGGCCCACCTGGAGCTGCACTGACTCTTCCCCAGGCCCCACCGGGCTCCACCCAACACAGCACAGCTCAGCTTAACCCCAGACACCTCATCCTTCCGCCAGCTCCAACTGTAGGCGTCTCCCTACCTTTTCTCTGCATTTTCTGAAGGGAATCCCCCACACTAGGAGTGTGGGTGACTCTGCCCAATGGAATATGGCCCAGACATCTCCTCCCACAGCCCCTGGCACCCACCTTGGAGACGAGTGCTCTGGGCTACCAAGGACGTGAGCCCTCCTCTCCAAGGTGACTCAATTGCCCTCACCCAGGACTCCCTGCTCTGCCTCTGGGTGCGACAGAAGAGGGGTGGGCAGGGGGAGTTTCTCACCCTACTTACGTTTATGGGGTGGCACCAGTAAATCCAGGGTCTTCTGGGGCAGATTGGCCCACACAGAGGAAATCTCCTTCCTCAGCTCTGCGTCACACTGATGCTGCTTTGTGCCAGCTGGGGCAGGATAAGGGTGGGAAGGGAGGAGAGATGTTAGGAGCCATCCCACAGCCCCCTTGGGGGAACAGGCGGAGCTGGGGTGGGCGGGGAGAGACCCCATGCTGGAGGAAAGGTGCAGGGGGGAGAAACACTGCCTTGGAGGCTGGTCAAAGCGTTCCCCGCCAGAACCTGTCTAAAGAGGTGTGGGAGCTGAGCCGCCCAGTGGCGAGGGTGAGAGGGCGTGTAGGCGTGGGTGGCGATGGGATTGGGCAGGGACACCGCAGTGTTCCAGCCATTCATCAATCATTCCATAAAAGTTACTGAGCGCCCACCGAACACCAGGTGTTGTTCTAGGTGAGGGAACAAATCCAAAGGAAGCTGCCCTTGTGGAGGTACATGATTTTAGTCTACGATAAAGTAGCAGTAAGTTAAAAATCCAGTCTGTTGGATACAGGAAAAACCAAGAGGGGAGGGACAGGAACTATCAGGAGGGCTGCAGTTTGGACAGAACGGTCAGGAAAGGGCTCACGGGACCCTGAAGGGGGCCAGGGAGCCAGGAGGGCGAGGCTGGAGCAGAGGGAGAGGACGTGCAGGTGGGGGCCGCTGAGACAGGAAGCAGCAGAGGGTCCAAGCAGAGGAATAAAGTACTCTGATCCATCTTTTTGTAAACATCGTGTTTATTAAAGTGTGATTTACGTACATAAACATTCACCCTGTTAGTTCTCCCACTCTGTGAACTTTGGTAAATGCATATGACCGTGGATCCACCATCACAATCCAGGCAGGAGCTCGGCACCCCTGCCCAGCTCCCTCCGTACCCTTTGTGGCCCACCCCTTCGCCCTCTCCCAGGGCCCTGGCATCAGCGATGTGTTTTCTGTCTCAACTGTTTCATCTTCTCAGAATGTCATACAAATGGCTTCACACAACATGCTGTCGAGTCTGACTTTTCACCCAGCACGATGCATCTGAGCCCCACCCACGCACATCGGTAGCCTGTTTCTCTGTTGCTGAGTGAGAACCGTCTCATCGCACAGACACACCACAGTTTGATTATCCGTCACCATTTGGCTGATGGTTGAGTTGTTTACAGTTTGGCACGATTATGAATAAAGCCACAAACTTTAGCGTATAGGTTTTTGTGTGCGTGTATACTTTCATGTCATCTCCCTTAGGAGTGGGATGCCTGGGCCACACGATCAAGAACGGTGAAGCTGTTTTCCAAAGCGGCGGCACCACTGTATCCACACTAGGAACACGAGAACTCGAGTTTTCTGCGTTCTCATCAGTACTTACCGTTGTCATTCTTTAAACGGCTGAAACACTTTATTCTTTTTGCAAAATTGTTTTTGTTCCTCAAGTTTGTGTGCTTTTCTAGGTATATTTTAGAATCAGTTTATAAATTCCAACCCAGAAAGCCTGTTGGGGTTTTGCCTGGCATAACACTGAGCCTACCGATCCATATGAGAACTGTCAATACTGAGTCTCCCGATGAACACGATGCCGTGCTTGGCTTATTTATTAAAGAAGATTCCTTTGGTCAATATTCTGAAATTTGCAGCATACACTCTAGCATATATATTTTTAGAGTTAGCCAGTTATTTGATGTTTTTGGTGCAATTTTAATGGAACTTTTTCAATTTCAGTTGTTAATTGCTAATCTATAGAAATACATTTGCTTTTCATATACTGACCTTGCTATACTCAGGTATTAGTTTTAGTAACTTCTTCTCCCAGCTTTAAACAACAGAAATATATTGTCTCAGTTCTGGAGGCCAGAAGCTCAAAATCAAGGTATCAACAAGGCTGTGATCCCTTGGAAGGCTCTAATGAAGAAGCTTCTTGTCTCTTCCTAGCTTCTGGTGGTTCCCAGCAATCCTTGGTATTCCTAGGCTCGTAGATGCTTTGGTTTTATTAACTTTTTATTTGATTCTTTAAGATTCTCTGTATAGATAATCATGTCAGTCATGAATAGAGACAATTTTATTTATTTCTTTCCAATTAGTACACCTCTTATTTCTTTTTCTTGACTTGTTACAATGGCTAGAGCCTCAAGTATGATATTGAACAAAAATGGCGACAGGAGACATCCTTGCCTTGTTACTGATCTTAGGGGGAAAGGAGCCAGGCTTTCTCTGTTAAGCATGTCATTAGCTGTAGGTTTATCATAGATATCCTTGATCAGATTGAGGAAGTTTGCTTTCATTTCTAGTTTATGTAGAATTTATGTATCATAAATGGATGTTGAATTTTGTCAAAGCTTTTTCTGCATCTATTGAGATAATCATATAGTTTTTCCTCCTTGATATATTAAGTTATATTGATTGATTTTTAAACTTGAACCCACCTTGCATTTTTCATTCCTGGGATAAACCCTACTTTAATCAACATGTTCAGTTTGCTAAAGTTGTGTTGAAAATTTTATTGTTCATATTCATGAGGAATGTTGGTCTGTAATTTTTTTGCTTGTAATGTCTCTGTCAGTTTTGGTATCAGAGTAATGCTGGCCTCATAAAATAAATTGGGAAATACCTTCTCTTTTTCTACTGTCTAGAGGACTTTGTATAGAATTATTTCCTCCTTAAACGTCTGGTTGACTTCATCAATGAAACAAATTGGGCCCATGATTTTCTTTGTTGGAAGATTTTTAACTATGAATTTAATTTATTTAATATATACAGCATTACTAAGGTTACCTATTTCCTTTTATTTTTCCAGGTTATCTATTTTTGAATGAGCCTCATAGTTTGTGTCAAGGAATTTTTCCATTTCGTTTAAGTTACTGAAGTTATTGACATAAAGTTGTTTACAAAATTTCCCTGTTATCCATTTAATGTCAGCAGGATCTACAGTGATATTCCCTCTTTCGTTCCTTATATTGGTTATTTTTATCTATTTTTCGTGATCAGGCTAGCTAGAGGTTTGATAATTTTACTGGTTTGATTTTTAACATGATCATTCTGGCTGTTGTGTTGAAGGTAGACTGAAAGAGGCAAGGGCAGAAGCAGACCAGTTAGAAGGTTACTGCAACAACCCAGTCAAGAAGAACAAGAGTGATTTGGACCAGGAGGTGGCAGTAGGAAAGGTTGGACAAGTGATCATATTCTAAATGTATTTTGAAGGTGGAGTCAGAAGATACTATACGGGTTCAGATATGGATCAGAAGTAGGGTAAGAAAAGAAAGTAGGACATAAAAACGACTGCAAAAGTTTTGGCTTGAGCAACTCTAACAGCAGTTTCCACTGATGGAGACAGGGAGGAATCTGGGGAGTATCTGGGACTCGAGGGTCAGCACGTGAACTCTGGATGCTCACTGGGCCTCCAAGTACAGACGGTGAATAATTTGTCGGGTATATAAGCCTGGGGTGTAGGAGCAGACCTGGACTAAAAATACAAAATTGGAATTCACAACGTTGGAAGCCATGGGAAAAGGTGAGAATGTATGCCTGAGGCACACAGTGACCTTCAGAGGTTGGGAGAAGACAGAAAAAGAGACACAAAGGGGTTTCACACAGAAGGGAGTCACAACTGCGGAAAGGCTGTGGACAGGTCCGTAAGGCAAGGGCTGAGAAGGTGAGGTCCCTGCGGAGCTTGACAAGAGCAGTTCCAACAAAGCTTTGCACTGAAAGATGGACTGCAGACTAGGAAAGGAGAAATCAGAGACAATGCAGACCTGTGTCTCCTGTGGCTAAGAAGGAGAGAAAAAAAAGAGAGAAGTCGATGGAAGGGGAAGAGAAAAACTTTAAAAATAGGAAGAATAACAGCACATTTACATATTGATAGAAATAATCCAGCAGAGAGAGAAAGTTGACCGGGCAAGAAATAGAATACAGAATTTCTGTCATGACATCCTTGGGTAGATGATGAAAACAGGGCAGAGTGTGCGAGCGGGAGGACTGGCCTCTGCTCATCTGCTACACGAGAGAGGGCGGAGCTCAAGGGCACGGGTGCAGGGAGGAAGGCCATGCGGGGGGAGGGCCCCTCTGGTGACTCATGTTCTCTGCGAAGGGGAAGCTGTCATCACATGCGGTGGGGAGGGGAGGTTCATTTCTTCCTTGGTGTGGCTCAGGCTGTGTCGTTCTACCAGTAACTCCGGAGAGGGCCTGATGGGGGAATTGGGCTCACTATGGGGAAGGGGCAGACTATTCACCCCATGAGGGGTACTGGCTCATGTGACGCTGGCTCCAACACTGCAGAACTCTGGGAAATCTGGAGTCATTCCATTTCACTCCACCTCAGCTCCCTCACGTGAAAATGGGATCACTGCAGCACTAACGTGCAGGATGGTTTCGGGGGACAAGATCGGTCTGACAGAGGTACCAGGGGCAGTCATCCTCCATCCAGTCCAGACAGGCCCCTCCTCCCGCCCCTGCACAGCTGCCTGGGGCGGCTCCCAGGGGCGCTTGCGCAGCCCTGGCTTTGTGCCTCCCTCAAGGCTGGCTTGCTCACCTGGAGCCAGCTTGATCTCCAGTGCGGTCCGGATGAGGGCCATCAGCGTGGACGTGAAGTGGACGGTCATGTCCTCGTTGGAGATGGGCATGTTCATACGAACGAGGCGCTGGGGACAAGGGGGCAGGTCAGGGCCAGGCCTCCCAGGGTACCCCCGCCACAGGGCTACACAGTGCTCGAGGGCCCTGGAGGCTGGGCTTGGCCTCCCAGAGGTGGTCCCTGCAGGTGCCCAGGACCAAGAGAGGCTGGATGCATGGGAGTTTTGCCAGCATTCACACTACCCCTGGACCCCCACCCTCATCTGAGCTGAGGGTTCCCTTGGCTGCACAGAAGTAGAAGTCCAGGTACATCTTGTACAACGGGGCCAGGCCATAAGTCTGGATCCCTCTGAAAGAACAGGCATGTCTCAGCCAGAGGGGCCCTTGCCCACTGCCCATGACAGAACAAGTGTGTGGCCTAGGCTGAAGAGGGGTGTGGGCCGGCTGCAGAACCCCTGAGGCAGCCCACAGACAGGAGCACTGGACGACGGGTGGGGCAGCCAAGACCACAGGCTCAGAGGTCAGCTCCCAGTGAGGAGACCCACAGCCCCGGGAAGCCTCTGCCTCTCACCACCCAGCTACGGGGCCAGGAAGAGATGCTTGATGCCGCCAGCCCAAGGCAGCAAGGGAAGCCTTAGAGAGCAGCTCCTTCCAGGGGGAAGGACCCAAACAGATGTGACTGAACAGGGCCTCAGGCTCAGCCAGCTGCCTGGGGACCCAGGGCCATCCCACAGGAACACAAGTGCTCGGACCAGACTGGGAGTCCTGCAAGCTTGCTCCCTGTTTCCCCATCAGGTGAACAGCCCCCTGTCCTCTCTTCCATTTTCCAGGACAGAACAGCTGGAGACAGGTGTGCCCCTGAGGCTCCGAGAACTTATGCGATCTCCAGGAGGAAAGGGTCTCAGGTGTGTCTGGAACGCCCTGAGCATTGGGGGGCCACCTCGCCTGCCAAGTAGAGCCCTCAGGGCACCGTGAGCCCCCTGTCCTCTCCCATCCGGGATGGGAGCTAGAGGTGGGGGCACAGGGCCCCTCCCTGGGGTCTGCCTGCCCTCTGCCAAGCCTGCACCCTGTGACAGGGCAGCCTCTCTGTCCCTTCTCTGGTTAGGGCCACTCTGCCCCCAGGCCTGCCCCCAGCATCCTGGCACCAAATCCAGTCTTCAGCCTGATGGAGGGCAGGTGGCTAGAGACACGAGCCCAGACTCCTTCCCCTAATGCTGGCAAAGCCCCACTTGGCACCTCCAATCATGGTCCTAGGACCTTGCTGGTCACCTGTGTGACACACACGGCTTCCCAGAGCACGGTGTCCCTGGAGACCAGCACCGATGGCAGTGGGAGAGGCAGAGGGGTTCCACGCCAGGGGAGAGTCAGGGAGTCAGGGGCCAGCGGGAAGGAGGGGCAAGCAGGTGTTTTCCAAGAGAGGAGAGCTCCGTCCGGGGCACCTTTACCAGAGCCCCTTCTGCCTGCCCAGGCCCGGGAGAGCCAGGAATCTCAGGGAGCAGCAAAGGGGCGAGACCAGGGCAAACAGACAGGAGTCTCTGCCTGGGCCTAGACCCTCTTGGACATGGCACTCTGTGCATCTCCTGACCCTCCCCAGCTCACCAAGCCCATCCACTTCCACCCACCACGAGGCCTCACCTGGTCTCTTCACTGCCAGAACCTGGAGTTGGCCAGCACACCCGGGGAGGAACTCCAAAGGCTACCCCGTCACGGCCCTGGCTGCCCACCCTGGCCCCAGGTGTCAGTGTGGACACAGCTCTCCTTCTTGGGGACAAAGCTACAGCCTTTCATGCACGGCCTCCAGGCAGGCTCGACTCACATGCCGGGCAGGGGAGGACCAAGGAAGACACTAGAGGCGTCTGCATATGGCCTGGAGGAGCCACTTAGCTCCCAGAGGCTGTGCTGAGCCAGGGGAGAGATGCAAGCCCAGAATCGAGCACAGAGACAGACAGTGTGGACAGAATCAGAAAGATGAAAGCTCTGGTGGGAAGCCTGCTCAGAGAGGGAGACAGCAGTCAGGCCCCAGACACTTGCTGGCTGAGTCTCGGGAGCACTACGGCTCTTGAGAGGGCGGAGCGCTGGAGGGATGGGAGGTGCTTACTCACCAAGGGGGTGACGGAGGATGCAGGGGCAGGTGGGAGCAGGCTTGGGGATGGGGCCATGTGGCCTGCTCGCCCACCCGGGAGGGAGGCCTGGCGGTGTCCTCAGTTTACCCCCCTCCTTGCAGCTCAGCCGCTGGGCCCTCAGCAGCAGGGTGGGAGGGACATGGGACCGCCCAGGCCCCAGAGGCTGTTCTCACCCCACAGGGCCCTCTGGAGCGCCAGGAATGAAGGCAGGATGCCTCTCTCCAGCACCCTTCCTTCTTAAGGCTCCGTGAACCCACGAAGCCCTAGAGACAACGCTCCCTCCCCAGCCCGGGAAGTTCTGCACATGCGGGGCTGGGGGCGGGCTCCTCAGGTGCACCCTGCAGAGATCTTGCAGGCCGCTGCTCCCCCAGGGCCGGACCCTCAGGGCTAGACAACTCCACCCACATCAGGGGCTTAGGGGACAGAGGAGCAGAGTGTGGTCCTGAGCTCGGAACAAAAACAGGCTCTGTCAAAAAAAGTTGGCCTGTCCCCTCCTTTCTAGGGAAGAGAAGGGAAGGAGAAGAGGCAGCTGGTGGGCTCCAGCTCCATGTTCCCGAGCCTCCCCGGGGGCTCTCAGAGGGGCAGCCCTGGGGGACAAGGGGCCAGTGCAGGGACACCTCGTGGTGTCTGCTTCCCTCTGTTTGGGAAGGAAGCAGAGATGTTCGGGGCAGAGAAGAGAAAGAAACAGTGAGACAGCACAGCAGCAGACAAACAGATGGACAAGCCCCAGAAGAGACACGGGAGCCCGGCCGCAGCACAGACAGCCTGCGGGGTGTGGGCGAGGGGTCTACCTTGTATGCAACTCGAGCAGGGCATTTCTTCCCCAGCCCCAGGGGCGGGGACATGTGTTTCAGCATCTCAAACATATCATTGTAACTGATGCGCCCACTGGAGGCCCGGCCCACAGGACAGAGGCAGAGTGGGGTCCACGGGAGGGGCGCAGCAGGAGGGAAGGGGGAGGAAGCAGACAAGAAAACAGAGCCAGTTAACCAGCGTCGGATTAAATGACAAAACAGGTCAAATGAGGGATCTCTCTGCTGGGCTCGATCCCCTCCTTGCCCCAGCCTCACCTCCGCACCCTGGTCCCACGCAGGGAGCGGGCGGGGGGGCATCTGAGCTAATGAACATGGAGGGAATGACAGGCTGCATCGGGGCGGCTTTGGGTTGTCAACTCTGATTTTACACTTTCAGAAGCCACGGGTAATGCCAAATTGGAAAAGAGCTGTTTCACCATGCCAGGGCAGCTGGCAGAGTTAAGTGACCAGCAGGGCCGGCTGGAGACCCACAGCAGAGACGTCAGCTTGCCTGATGAGCCAATTCACGCTCAATTGGCTTCCAAGCTAGCCGAGAGGCTTAAGAAGTGGAGAAAAGTCTGAAGCAGGCCAGAAAACGAGAGCGAGAGCCACGCTGTTCTGCAGGGAGCCCCGAGGCTCTAGACACGAAGTCCACGGGGCCAAGGCCAGCTCCAGGCCCAGAGACACCCGAGGCCGGCCCGGGGCAGGGCTGCTGCTGGGTCACGGCTGGGTGGGAAATGGGAGACTGCAGAGGGGGCGAGGGGGCAGCTGGGGTGAGATGTGGCTTGGTGCCACTCTTGTACCCTCCTGACAGCATGCCAGGAAGGGCTGGGACCAACATAAGGGATAAGGCTCCAGACTCAGGGAGGTGTCCAGGGGTTGTTGACTGTGTCTCCTCCGAGGCAGACGGGCCACCAGTCCTGAAGCCTCACCTCCACCCCTGGGATGGCTGCCTACGGGACCTGCTTGGGCTCCCAGAGACACAGGCGGGTTCAGGCCACCGAAGAGAGAAGGCGGACAGCCTTCTACTGGCAGGTGGATCCACCCCAGGGTCTGGCCCTCCTCCCAGGGCTCCTGG